AGAAACCTTTAACTTCATTTTGCCCTGAAATGATTGAAATGCAGTCGGTTAATATCAACTGCTTTTAAATGTCTGAGAGTCAGAATCGATGTAAAAACTAGAGGCCGGTGTAGTACATTTCTTCTACATCGGCCATGAGCTGAAATACTTTTTTAAAGCATCACTGCAGATGCAGCACCAATCACGCTCCAGCTTTCCCTCACTCGTGTACAAGACCTCGAGATACGTAAACTCCTGCACTTGGGGCAGGACCTCATCCCTGCATATCATGCTATTTAAAATACAAACACTGTGCCACACATACTTTAAATTATGTCCTTTATGTACACACACAAAAACATACGCCTTCAAAACCATCTAGCTTCCTCCACATTTTACCACAGTGTACGGTATTACCGGGACTCATTTAGAAATTATGACATAAGCCTCAAGTAGAATTACCAAACTGTCGGTTTGGACCTAACTAAAACAATAACAAGTCGGTTTGGACCTAACTAAAACAATAACAAGTTGGTTTGGGCCTAACTAAAACAATAACAAGTCGGTTTGGACCTAACTAAAACAATAACAAGTCGGTTTGGACCTAACTAAAACAATAACAAGTCGGTTTGGACCTAACTAAAACAACAACAAGTCGGTTTGGACCTAACTAAAACAACAACAAGTCGGTTTGGACCTAACTAAAACAACAACAAGTCGGTTGGGACCTAACTAAAACAACAACAAGTCGGTTTGGACCTAACTAAAACAATAACAAGTCGGTTGGGACCTAACTAAAACAACAACAAGTCGGTTGGGACCTAACTAAAACAACAACAAGTCGGTTGGGACCTAACTAAAACAACAACAAGTCGGTTGGGACCTAACTAAAACAACAACAAGTCGGTTGGGACCTAACTAAAACAACAACAAGTCGGTTGGGACCTAACTAAAACAACAACAAGTCGGTTTGGACCTAACTAAAAAATAACAAGTCGGTTTGGACCTAACTAAAACAATAACAAGTCGGTTTGGACCTAACTAAAACAATAACAAGTCGGTTTGGACCTAACTAAAACAATAACAAGTCGGTTTGGACCTAACTAAAACAATAACAAGTCGGTTTGGACCTAACTAAAACAATAACAAGTCGGTTTGGGCCTAACTAAAACAACAACAAGTCGGTTTGGACCTAACTAAAACAATAACAAGTCGGTTTGGACCTAACTAAAACAATAACAAGTCGGTTTGGACCTAACTAAAACAATAACAAGTCGGTTGGGACCTAACTAAAACAACAACAAGTCGGTTGGGACCTAACTAAAACAACAACAAGTCGGTTGGGACCTAACTAAAACAACAACAAGTCGGTTGGGACCTAACTAAAACAACAACAAGTCGGTTGGGACCTAACTAAAACAACAACAAGTCGGTTGGGACCTAACTAAAACAACAACAAGTCGGTTGGGACCTAACTAAAACAACAACAAGTCGGTTGGGACCTAACTAAAACAACAACAAGTCGGTTGGGACCTAACTAAAACAACAACAAGTCGGTTGGGACCTAACTAAAACAACAACAAGTCGGTTGGGACCTAACTAAAACAACAACAAGTCGGTTGGGACCTAACTAAAACAACAACAAGTCGGTTGGGACCTAACTAAAACAACAACAAGTCGGTTTGGACCTAACTAAAACAACAACAAGTCGGTTGGGACCTAACTAAAACAACAACAAGTCGGTTGGGACCTAACTAAAACAACAACAAGTCGGTTGGGACCTAACTAAAACAACAACAAGTCGGTTGGGACCTTACTAAAACAACAACAAGTCGGTTGGGACCTAACTAAAACAACAACAAGTCGGTTGGGACCTTACTAAAACAACAACAAGTCGGTTGGGACCTAACTAAAACAACAACAAGTCGGTTGGGACCTAACTAAAACAACAACAAGTCGGTTGGGACCTAACTAAAACAACAACAAGTCGATTTGGACCTAACTAAAACAACAACAAGTCGGTTTGGACCTAACTAAAACAACAACAAGTCGGTTTGGACCTAACTAAAACAACAACAAGTCGATTTGGACCTAACTAAAACAACAACAAGTCGGTTTGGACCTAACTAAAACAACAACAAGTCGGTTTGGACCTAACTAAAACAACAACAAGTCGATTTGGACCTAACTAAAACAACAACAAGTCGGTTTGGACCTAACTAAAACAACAACAAGTCGGTTTGGACCTAACTAAAACAACAACAAGTCGGTTGGGACCTAACTAAAACAACAACAAGTCGGTTGGGACCTAACTAAAACAATAACAAGTCGGTTTGGACCTAACTAAAACAATAACAAGTCGGTTTGGACCTAACTAAAACAATAACAAGTCGGTTTGGACCTAACTAAAACAATAACAAGTCGGTTTGGACCTAACTAAAACAATAACAAGTCGGTTTGGACCTAACTAAAACAATAACAAGTCGGTTTGGGCCTAACTAAAACAACAACAAGTCGGTTTGGACCTAACTAAAACAATAACAAGTCGGTTTGGACCTAACTAAAACAATAACAAGTCGGTTTGGACCTAACTAAAACAATAACAAGTCGGTTGGGACCTAACTAAAACAACAACAAGTCGGTTGGGACCTAACTAAAACAACAACAAGTCGGTTGGGACCTAACTAAAACAACAACAAGTCGGTTGGGACCTAACTAAAACAACAACAAGTCGGTTGGGACCTAACTAAAACAACAACAAGTCGGTTGGGACCTAACTAAAACAACAACAAGTCGGTTGGGACCTAACTAAAACAACAACAAGTCGGTTGGGACCTAACTAAAACAACAACAAGTCGGTTGGGACCTAACTAAAACAACAACAAGTCGGTTGGGACCTAACTAAAACAACAACAAGTCGGTTGGGACCTAACTAAAACAACAACAAGTCGGTTGGGACCTAACTAAAACAACAACAAGTCGGTTGGGACCTAACTAAAACAACAACAAGTCGGTTGGGACCTAACTAAAACAACAACAAGTCGGTTGGGACCTAACTAAAACAACAACAAGTCGGTTGGGACCTTACTAAAACAACAACAAGTCGGTTGGGACCTAACTAAAACAACAACAAGTCGGTTGGGACCTTACTAAAACAACAACAAGTCGGTTGGGACCTAACTAAAACAACAACAAGTCGGTTGGGACCTAACTAAAACAACAACAAGTCGGTTGGGACCTAACTAAAACAACAACAAGTCGATTTGGACCTAACTAAAACAACAACAAGTCGGTTTGGACCTAACTAAAACAACAACAAGTCGGTTTGGACCTAACTAAAACAACAACAAGTCGGTTTGGACCTAACTAAAACAACAACAAGTCGGTTTGGACCTAACTAAAACAACAACAAGTCGGTTTGGACCTAACTAAAACAACAACAAGTCGATTTGGACCTAACTAAAACAACAACAAGTCGGTTTGGACCTAACTAAAACAACAACAAGTCGGTTGGGACCTAACTAAAACAACAACAAGTCGGTTGGGACCTAACTAAAACAACAACAAGTCGATTTGGACCTAACTAAAACAATAACAACATAACACACGAGAACAACTTAAAAATGTAATAATAAAATGCAGCTGATAAAAAGATTTTATGCCTGAAAGACCAGCATGTTTACCAACATACGGGTACTTTGGGGCTAGTCGTAGTACGGAAGGCTGGCTGCATATTTCCACCAGAAAAGCGCGTTGTCGTCGCTTTTAATAACAGCAGTCTGCCGTTTCAGCTATGGCTCGCCCCTCTGCTGTGCCGACGGGTCGTGCGTCTTTTGCGGTCATCTTTTGTTTACACAAATGACCTTATCTGTGTTTACCAGCTCTCCTTTTAGGTTTGCGTCCAAACAAAAGTACTCCCTAACTGCAGAAGTTGTGTTTTTAGACACCCAAGTAAGCTGGTGCGTGAGCCGCCATTTTTCTCTCAGCGTGCTGTCTCAGTGATGACATCACTTTCATAAACTTTATTCAACGTTTCTAAAAGTTGGATAACATATTTTTTAAACGATTTAAGTAAAACTTAAATTTCAACCACACATCCATTTTATACAGTAAATGATAGGGGTGGACAATATATCGGCATCAATATTGGCTGATGTTAGTCATTTTTTAACGTATCTGTATCGGGTCGATAAATAAAACTGGGCTGATATTAACGACCGATACTTTTTCCATCTCGTCTCCATTTGTTTGCCTGTTTCAGAGGGTGGGGGGGGTGGGGGGGGGTGATGTGTATTTGTTTAGTCATGTGATAATGATTGTAATCATCTCAGAAGCGTAAATATGTGCAATGTGTGTACATAATAACGTAAATTCTGCTTTAATAATTTTCATTCTATACAAAATCTGATTTTGGAGGCATTAATGTCAGTATATCGGTTATCGGCCATAACAGTGATCTTAATATCGGATATTGGTATCGGCCCAAAAATTTCATATTGGTGCATCACTAATAAATGACCCTTATTTATTTATTTGTTTGTTTATTTATTTATTAATCCTTGTCTCCTTCGTGCACTGATTTTTTTCTTTTTCATGGTGGTATTGTAACTGACACCGCTGCTATTATTTAGCACCGGCTGTGTACGGTAATACCATAATACCATAAATGTATTTATTCAGCAGTGTGACACTGAAGGAGTTAGAGAATCATGGTGAGACTGTTGGCAGCAGCAGCAGCAGCGTGTCACAGGGTATTTAATACACTCCAGTGAGTGCCAAGCAGACCGCTCCCTCAGACTTGACCAACACGGGTGTACGTTTTACTGCTGAAGTATTCAGTGGTGTATTTTGTAAAGATGAGGGGCCGTATTATGTTTATTGAATCATTGTTCAAAAATGATGTCCAACTTAAGACTTGTCCAACTTATGGTACAAGTCCAAGCGTATGACTGTCCATTCTCGATTATGGTTTATTTTCACATAGGCGGGATTTTTTTAACTTTACATTTTTTTCGTTTCAGAAACGACAAAAGCGGATGATCTAGACATTACCCTGGGGTCTTCCACTGGAGAAGGTACATCTAACACACAAACATAGTCTGTTGAAGAGAAGAAAAGCTGTCTTTGTATTAATGTTGACTGTTCTCACAGCTTAGGCTGTTGCCAATCAGAGCGCTCAGGATTAGTTGATGACGTCAGAGCTGAGATGGAAAAAAGCAAAATGGAAGATGATTGAAAATTGAAAATGTATCTAATTCAAAGATTTGCTAAACCACAGAAATCGTTGAGTTTGTTGTTGAACGCCATGATTAGGGTTGGGCATCGAGTATCAACCGGGACCAACTGTCAGTTTTTTCCAGAATCGTTCAAAGTTTTTTATTTCGATTCCTAGAATGCCGACTGGAAGAGGAACCCGCGGCCGATCTCTGTGAAAAACAAACGTGATCTGCAAATTGTGATCAACGCTTTTCAGAGCGGATCACAGCAGCTGTCTGTGTTCAGCACCGAGTCCCCCTCCCAAATATAAACAAACGCGTCTACTGAACTTTAACTCCGTGATGTAAACGTTAACTCCTGCAGCGTAGAGGAAACGTGTTAAATACGTCAACACGGTGGATTCAATAGAAGCTTAAAGAACAAACTCTGGACGTGTGAGTTTAGTTTGTCTCACTGCAGAAATAACAACACACACGGAGCGCCAGCAGTCAGACGCAGCCGCTCACCAACACTCGTGTGTGTGTGTGTGTGTGTGTGTGTGTGTGTGTGTGTGTGTGTGTGTGTGTGTGTGTGTGTGTGTGTGTGTGTGTGTGTGTGTGTGTGTGTGTGTGTGTGTGAGCATCAGAAGGCTGAACAATAACCTGTAGAATAATTAAAGTCATCATGCTAGAGCAGCTTCTCTGTGGTGGACCACACCAGCCTCTGCCCCCATAAATAATAATAATAATTATTATTATTATTATTATTATTGTTATTATTATAATAATTATAATAATAATAAATCACACACAAAGTTGTAAACATTTTAATTTCTGAACTGTTTCTCTTGAGTTTTAATGTTAAAACCTGTTAGCTTGTTACTGACAGCAGCTACGTTTAAGTTTCACTTCCTGTTGTGACTGAAGCTGCTGCAGCATGGAGGTGTAGCTCTCAGTCATCCTGGACATGATCATCCTGAGAGCTGTAGCTGGAAACAGCTGGACGTTTCTGGATGTGTTGGAGACGTTTAGCCTCTCATCCCAGAGGCTGCTTCCACACTTTGGTTGTGGTCAGAAACAAACACACTGGTTGTGCTGCAAGTCTTTTTCTTTTGTCTCCAAAACACGTTTTTGTCTAAATGAAGGTGATGTTGTTGTTCATAGAGTTAAAATTCATGTTGAAGTTCAGATTATTTCATCCAGTAGGACCTGTGGTTAGCTGGCTCATGTAAAACATGTCATGTCTTCAAAGAATCGGAATCGGGAGTCGATAGGAACCGGAATCGAAACGAGGACTTGGAATCGGAATCGTTCAAAATCAAACGATGCCCCACCCTAGCCATGATGACCTTGTTGTTGTTCTTTATCTATGGTATGGACTGTCCTGTTGAGTGTTTTCATTACACTGAATTAGTCATACCGTTGGTTGTTCTGATTGGTCCTAGCACTGTCCAGTTGTGTGAAGAGATGGTTTGATAGAACACCATAGATTCCACCCCATAAGTGAGCCGTTTCACTGGTTTGTGGCCAGGCTCTATATTTATATACATTGATTCCAGAATCAACGTGCTTTCCATCCTAAGGGTCTACGTAGGGGGCGGGTGTATTACGTGAACGAACCCATCTGATTGGCCGCATATCAGAAGAGCTACATTTGATTGGTCAAATAATACTTCCGCGTAAAAAACAGAGCTGGTTTACAAAAAGTTGATGTATGACACGGATGGAAATGTTGAACCAAACATTTATCGCTGTTTTTGACGTGCTTTGCGATGGGCCTATCGCACGTCCTGTTATCGCGATGACGATACTTTTTCGATATATTGTGCAGCCCTAAAATTGAGCATGCTGATATCGTGATAATGATATGTTTGTGATATGTTGTGCAGCCCTAGTGGAGAGGTATGTTTAGTGCCATGGTACGTGAATATTTGTGAAAGGGTGTTTTTCCCTTTCTGTGATACTGAATTCAGAGGAGCCGACTCTCGTGTAGCAAAGCGTTCCTGCTCCAGCGGAGCTCGGCACATATTAGTCTGCTTTGTCTTCTCGGTCTATTCCTGAGCCCCGTGGGTGTTTTCAGAGTCTGTTGCTGCAATTTAACTCTTCTCACTGCTGACGTTCGGTATTACATCACATAAGCATTAAAGAACGTCTGGTCTCAAAGATTCCTGCACAGTTTTGTTTGTTTTCATTCCTAAACTCCCATTACAGTCATAAATACAAACAAGCATCCTCTAGTAGCATGTGAGCATTAATATCCAACATTATACATACATATTACGTACAGTGTTGCATGAACTTTGTTGTCTATTCAATAGAGAAACCTTCCAGATTAAATGCACTAACTTTACATTATAATGAAGAAAGATGTGTTGTGCAGCACTCTCTTGTTATGAACATGATGGAAGAAGAAGTACAAACATGTCTTGCACCAAATCAAAGAGGAGCGTTGTTCTAAAAGCTGCTAATTATTTATGTCCCACAATGTTTCCCATACATGAATACAGGGATCCTTATCTGTTCCTGATGTTCCCCATAGGGCAGAGTGATAAGAGTACAGCCTAAAATCTCTGTTTAGACACTTGATCATACTGTTTAACCGTACCTGTCTGTAATATCGTTATCCTCTAATACAGGCCCGGGCCTGTATTTGACTCAAGCTCATCAAGCTCCAGGCCTTTATTGGAAGGAGGGCCAGTATTAGAGGCAGACCTCAATTTCTATTTGAGCAAAATGAACTAATGGTTCGCTGGAGTTTTTGACGATTAAAATTCCGCCCACATTTTCAAAGTTAAACACATTTCTTTTAACAATGGTAGTTTCTGCTTCAGCCCTCTCCCCCCTCCCCCTGCTTCAGCCCCCTCCCCCCTCCCCCTGCTTCAGCCCTCTCCCCCCTCCCCCTGCTTCAGCCCTCTCCCCCCTCCCCCTGTGCAGCAGCCGCAAACTCACTGATGCGCCTGCAGCCTCTCGGAGTTCCTGCTGCTCTAAACATTAAAATAATTATTTCATTTTCTGTTCCTCACTTCTGATTACCTTCAATGGTGTCTGTTTGTTGCAACCAGCAGGTACAAAAACTAACTTGTTTTTATTTGACTATTTTTCTGTCCTGTCTGTTTATTATCTTCCTGCATCTCCTCTCAGTCCTAAAGAGAAACTGCTACCTGGGTTCATATATATTCACCTCATGAGTTACCTTTGAACTGCAGTTCTAAAAGATCTACCGACCGCTAAAACAGCGGAGTTCTCGCCGGTCACGTCAGTGAGGTGCGTCACCGAGGACAAAACAGGTGATGCGCCCCGATCCACAGCAGCGAAATGCATCAGACACAAATAAAAGAATAAAAGAAAGAAAACATAAAAGGAAATGAGCCGACATGAACGATCGCGTGTTAAGTTAGTTTTTGAGGTGGCGACACCTGATTTGATAATGTTACTGTGGCCGTGCTCAGGACGCAGATGTCTGGAGCGCGTCAACAATCAGAGCTTTGCATGCACAAGCTGGTTAAGGTTAGGATGGGGGTGAGGGGAAGGTTAAATTGCAAGAGGGTAAACGTCACAATTTGGTCAAATGTCCGTTTTACGGCGGGTGTCAGTACCGACGCTCTGGCACAGCGCGTTGCCTCCCGACGCGCAGGAGCGTGTCACCTGCTGACAGCAGGCTGCTGTCTTTTCCGAGGACTGCATCTTGCCGGTCATTATCACGTGACAGCGACTAGTCGATGACAGGCATAACAAGTCACTATAGAGCGGTGAAGTCGACTAGTGACTAGTTCATACAACCCCTACTACTGCTCCCCAGAGTGTTCTGCAGCATAATCAGCACGTTCTCTTTGAACTTGATATCAAATTTTCGCCTCCTCTTCGTCTCCGCACGGTTAAAGTTACCCTCGCGGTCTATCACTGGCAAATCAAAAGTGAGACGATGACACAACCGCCCCCGTACTTGCTTGTTACCACATTCCACCCGGCCACAATAAAAACCGGCCATTATTCACCTCCGCCGACTCCGACACCGGCCAAAGTATGATACCTGGCCGTTAATTGAATACAGGCCAATATTAGAGGATTTACGGTAGTCACACTGGGCCTACCACACTTAACAGATTATAGTTCATCTTAAAGTTCGTGCTGCTCGATGATTATTGGTAGATCTTCTGAGGCTACAACGGACCGAGGCTAGACCCACCTGTACGGTAAATGTACTTCTGCTACGGTGGGTCTGGTTTCCAGGCCTGAAGCAACAGAAGCTAAACCCAGACTGATGCTGCATGCATAAACATTAGCATGTTTAGCTTCATTAGCATCCTGCTCTGGTCAGGTGCTGATGGTAAATATGAAGGAAACGTGTTGTTCACACGTGTGCTGAGCTGCTGTTGTGTGTCCGGTGGCATGCTTCCTTCCTGTTAACTAGCGGTCTGGTGTGGGTCGCGTCAGGATTTCGGTCATTTTCTGTTTCATCACTACCTAAACTAATGAAATAGTTCAGATGTTGGTATATCCGTCTGTAATCTCTTAAGTAGTAGAAATCTGAGATGCACAGGAAGTAAAAGAAATCGGTGGGTTTTCATTTGATCACATGGTCTGTGGAAATGATTATCTCTATTACAACTTTATTTTTCATGGTAAACAGGAGCTTCAGGGTTCAAAGGCCAGCGTTTGATAAGATGATACAAGGATGACATGTGTAACTGCGCCCTCGCATCTCATGTTGGTATAAATGATTCAACACTGTCTCCTGCTGGATGGTTCCTCTGTTTAGCCTGAATTTGGTCCACAGATGTACAAAAATGTGTATTTTAACAGATTTTAAGGTTTTCCCAGGATCCTACTGGTTACAGAAGAGAAACAGTGCTCCTTGTTATTGATGGATGAATGTGAACGTGTGATGACAGCAGGTGGTGTTTGCACGGTGGAGAAATGTTGCTGGAGGCCGTCTGGTGTGATCATCATGTGCACGCTGCAGCACAGTGTCTCTTTGTTGTCTCTTCACTCCAACTTTAACCCAACAAAGCTGCTACTTGGTTTGTGAAATAAAATATTTGAGGTTTGACTTTTTAAATTCTTAGACTTGTAGTTTAGTTTTTAACCCAGCAGTGTTTTTCTGCCCCCATCCCCAACCCCCATGATGTGCTATGACCTCCAACATTTAGTTGTAAATTACAGCCTCACGTTCTACTACTGTACACTTAAAAGCTGCTGTGATTACAGAGTTCATGACCACGCTCCACCCCCCCCTCCTGCTTTCTGCCTCCCATAAAAGCTTCATTGTGCATAGCTGTAATTTAGGCCTCCGTCCCTTTCCTCGCTGCGTTTACACGGGCCTGGGTCCAGAAGAGTGATCTAACGGGCTCGGACGCTGTGGATCGGGAACATTTTGGTTTCTCTGCTTCTAGACTCACCAGAATAGAGACATCTGATCACAAATCAACACATTCTTAGTGTGATTTACTTAAACATTATTAAAATATGACCTTTCTATGTGTGAAAAAAGGAAAAGGCTTGTGGGATGTATGGAAAAGATGGATCGTCACATATCCGGGTATCTGTTGTAGTTTAACTTTATTGTTGCCTCATGAACTTCTTAAGGGATTTGAGTCAAACTCAAAAGGTCGCTGCTGGATAGCGGTGTGTCTGCTGCAGCTAACCGACTATAGCAACAATAAAAATAGACACCGCTCTGAGAATTTAGCAGATATTAAAAAGTACAACGCAGGCTTTAACTGCTAACTGATGATTATTTTAAAGACTGAACACAAAATCAAAAACAACCTCATTTTTCTACATGTTGGCCTTAGTTTTAAACACTGGTGTGGAGGATGCTGGCAGTTCTGGAGTGCTGGGGTTCAGCTTTTAATCATGTCATAGAAAATGTATCTGAAGTGATCCAAGTATTTAAACCCTGTTGCATTTGATTAAAAATAGGCAGTCTAATGTACGTTTACCGTAGCGTACCAAACGTCTGCCATGTCCACAACACCTTTCCTGTGTACAGTAGTAACGCTGTAATGGCCACGGAGAATTTTCAGTCTGAGAAAAGCTGATTTAACGTATTTTAAGCATCTGTAGGTTCCAACCCACTGCAGTGTCGGCCAGCTGTAAACGCTGGTCACAGCAGGGCCGTGCGATCTGGCGATATTAGATCGTTAAGGGTTATAAAGTGATGACATCCACCAGAACACAGATGTAGAACCGACTGTAGTTGTTCCAGGAAGCATCAACACACACACATTTGTTTTTCTTTATTCCAGCTGAGTCACGCCATCTGCTGGTTTGCTTCTGTCGGTACCGCAGACACCGATGAACCAATCAGAGCAAGTTTAAGGCAGCGTGTCGGTTTGTTCAGCTGGGTGCTCGGCAGAGCTGAGGAAAATGATCTAATAATTTATGTATTAAGATGTTTGAAACTGTTGTTGACACCGCTACTCTACAGTCTAGTCGGCCCCTACGTGTCATCTCTGTTACTGATGCCAAACCTGAGCCGTGCAGCTGGGGGTTCATGACGGGGATGGCTTTGGCCAAACTTCTTTAGGGTGCCTGCCAAACTTTATGGTCACAGTCCGATAGAAAGACGTGTCTCTGAGGTCAGCTACGCAAAAACTACACATTAGATCGTGTACTTGTGTAAGTAATGTGGATGTTTTTCTTTCCTTGTCCTGCCTGTATTTTTATTTAGTTTTATTAATTCTGTATTTTGACCATCAGGTTTGCTGGAATGGGTAACCTGCTAAAAGTCCTAACAAGAGAAATAGAGAACTATCCACACTTTTTCCTGGACTTTGAAAGTAAGTGTGACGGGAGGAGGAGCTCGTCTCTGAGGAGGCGTGAGGAGGGCAGGGCTCGTTCCCTTTCTGTCAGCTGGTCTTGATGATGCTCCGTGCGTTTGTCCGTCACTTCCTGTTTCCTCTGTGCAGTTATCTCCTCCTGCTCTGTCAGCCCTGTTCTGATAACATTTTAACACTGGATGCTTCTCTTTCTGTCCTTTCTTCTGTCTCTTGCAGAAACCAAATGGGGAATCTGTTAAAAGTGCTAACTTGCACAGAGCTTGAACAGGGACCCAACTTTTTCCTTGACTTTGAAAGTGAGCATACCTGTTTGCCTTTTCCTTAAAGCACTAAACCCTCTTGCTTTCCATCGTTCTCTTAGCCTGGCTGGCCCAGGGTCGTCTCATTCAACAGATAATTTTCCTGCTTAGCTTTTCTAACCTCGTCACTGAATGCTTTTAATGAATCAGTAATGTCTCTCAATTCTTCATTTCTGGGCTGAAGATGAAGCTGACCCTTGAACTGTGCTATCAGCATGAACTTACTCGACACACATGGCATCATTTAAATACTAGCACTGAATGTTGTCATTTTACAGACATGGATAAAACAGTTGGTGCTCTTCTGCTAAACAACACAAATCCCACCATGGTCAATGACATGTTTATGAACCGACTTCTGAAACCCAACAAGTGAAGTCAGGCGTCACGTTTGAAACGTGGATTCACCAAAAATCGTTTCACTAATAAGACTGAGTTTGACAAAGGTTCAGGACCATGTTGAACTGTAATTAACATCACGTAAAAGGTAGGCACAGCGCTGTTTGGTGTGTGCCACACTGGATGTGGACCACAGAAAGCTAAGGACACCGTTATTGTTGGCCAGCATGTTGAAGATGAAGACTAGAAGACCAGAGATCTGAGGACTGTCTCCAAGCATCGTTCCTGTGATTACAGTTGGGTATATTACTGAGAATGGTCACAGAATTGTAGACGACCTACTTGGATGTGTACTCAGGATGAGAACTGATGACAAGTAGAAGAAACGGGTAAGAGGACGGGCCCAGAACAACTTCCACAGAGACTAGAGCTCAACTCCAATGTCAAGGTTGGACTGTCTACTAACGTTTGAGCCTACGTGGACTTGATGGGACACGATCAAGGATGACACCACTGGTGAAGTCAAATCATGGAAAATTATTGGACTTTACCACGAAGCTTCTAGGAAAACATCCTCTGGACAAATGAGAAAACTATCAGCTCAGATAAGAACATTGGACCTACTCTGAAGCACGGAGGAGCCTCGATTCTGTTCTGGACCTGCTTTGCTGCCACTGGGTCAGGGAGTCTTGGATCTGTTCAGGGTCCAGTGAGGTGTAAGATCTGACCCAGAGTCAGAAATCATGTTCTCAATCTCAGGTTAATGGTTTAAAACACCAAGAGTGGATCAGAACCAAACTGTTCTGAAGTGGCCTTCAGTAAATCCTGATCTAGAACCTCTTGCACATCTGGGAAAGCAGCTGGAGCTGATCAGGAGTGGACCATAATCTCACTGAGTGCTACGGGAATTACTCGACCATTTTTGTGTGAGCCAGTCACCAGTTTTTATCATTTAGTTGTTTTCTTCAGCAGAAGGGTACCAACAATATAAACTAGGTCTGTTTGTTTTGTTGAACAGCTGTTTCTATGGATTCCTTCTCAAATCAGCAGCAGTATCCTTCACATTCATCAGTGCCATAACTACAGCGATGCAAACCAAACCGCTTTGGGAGTTTGCTTTTGTCTGCTGTATGAAGACTCAACTCAGTCCGCCTCCACGGTGGCTTTTCAGCTGCGCTCACACACGGTAGCAAACCTCAGGCTTTGTTTATTCACTGAGGAGAAGATGATGGCAGTGGAGACCTTTTATAATGCAAAGCACAGTTTTAATGTCTGTGAGTTTCCATATTTAGATCTGGGATAGTAGACCAGAGTCCGGGCCTGTCTTTAGACACGCGGTATCAACGTTTTACAAAACAGAACTGATGCTGTTTGCTTTTTCTCAGAGGCCGCCATCTAGAGGCAATAAGAGGCGTCACAAGCCCTTCTCCCTACTTCCATGATTATGGCGGGAAGCAACGCCTCTCATTGGTTAAATGCACACTTGTTGCTGGCCAAAAGCAGTAAAACACACAGTTTTACAGGTGAAACCAAAAAAACTGGAATGTGATGCAAAAGTTAATTAATATTAGTAATTCTGCTTGAGAGATGAAACCGATCCATGAGACCAACTCATTACATGTGAAGCCAGATACTTCAGCCTTGATTTGTTACACATATGATGATTGTGCGTCAGTCTAGGCACTCTGATTGGCTACATAAGGAGGTGGCTAATGCTGAGTGCTGCTAAATTCAAATTGCATGGGTCTCTGTGGTACTGGGGGGAGGGGACTTGGCACAAAAATGGATATACAGGGAGTGCAGAATTATTAGGCAAATGAGTATTTTGTCCTCTTCATGCATGTTGTCTTACTCCAAGCTGTATAGACTCGAAAGCCTACTACCAGTTAAGCATATTAGGTGATGTGCATCTCTGTAATGAGAAGGGGTGTGGTCTAATGACATCAACACCCTATATCAGGTGTGCATAATTATTAGGCAACTTCCTTTCCTTTGGCAAAATGGGTCAAAAGAAGGACTTGACAGGCTCAGAAAAGTCAAACATAGTGAGATATCTTGCAGAGGGATGCAGCAGTCTCAAAATTGCAAAGCTTCTGAAGCGTGATCATAGGGTTAGGGTTAGGGTAAGGGTTTAACCCTAACCCTAGCCCTCGAACAATCAAGCGTTTCATTCAAAACAGTCAACAGGGTCGCAAGAAGCATGTGGACAAACCAAGGTGCAAAATAACTGCCCATGAAGTGAGAAAAGTCAAGCGTGCAGCTGCCAAGATGCCACTTGCCACCAGTTTGGCCATATTTCAGAGCTGCAGCATCACTGGAGTGCCCAAAAGCACAAGGTGTGCAATACTCAGAGACATGGCCAAGGTAAGAAAGGCTGAAAGACGACCACCACTGAACAAGACACACAATTTGAAACGTCAAGACTGGGCCAAGAAATATCTCCAGACTGATGTTTCTAAGGTTTTATGGACTGATGGAATGAGAGTGAGTCTTGATGGGCCAGATGGACGGGCCCGTGGCTGGACTGGTAAAGGGCAGAGAGCTCCAGTCCCACTCAGACGCCAGCAAGGTGGAGGTGGAGTACTGGTTTGGGCTGGTATCATCAAAGATGAGCTTGTGGGGCCTTTTCGGGTTGAGGATGGAGTCGAGCTCAACTCCCAGTCCTACTGCCAGTTTCTGGAAGACACCTTCTCCAAGCAGTGGTACAGGAAGAAGTCTGCATCCTTCAAGAAAAACATGGTTTTCATGCAGGACAATGCTCCATCACATGCGTCCAAGTACTCCACAGCGTGGCTGGCAAGAAAGGATATAAAAGAAGAAAAACTAATGACATGGCCTCCTTGTTCACCTGATCTGAACCCCATTGAGAACCTGTGGTCCATCATCACATGTGAGATTTACAAGGAGGGAAAACGGTACACCTCTCTGAACCGTGCCTGGGAGGCTGTGGTTGCTGCTGCACACTGTTGATGGTGAACAGATCAAAACACTGACAGAGTCCATGGATGGCAGGCTTTTGAGTGTCCTTGCAAAGAAAGGTGCTATACTGGTCACTGATTTGTTTTTGAATGTCAGAAATGTATATTTGGGAATGTGGAGATGTTCTATTGGTTTCACTGGTAAAAATAAGTAATTGAAATGGGTATATGTTTGTTTTTTGTTAAGTTGCCTAATTGTGCACAGTAATAGTCACCTGCACACAGATATCCCCCTAAAATAGCTACAACTACAAACATTCAGCTTTGATATGAATGAGTTGTTTGGGTTCATTGAGAACATGGTTGTTGTTCAATAATAAAATTATTCCTCATAAATACAACGTGCCTAATAGTTCTGCACTCCCTGTATTGTCTATATCATTGCAGTAGGATAAGACCATCACGTTTACGGATTTCTAAAGAGAAATCACAAAAGGTGGAATACCGTGTTGCTGCTTTAAAAAGACCGTTACTCCATAAATAAAAATGGGTTACATTATGATGTCATTCTGAAGTGAACTACAAGCTTATTCGGTTCTCAATCCTGGTCCTAGAGGACCAGTGTCCAGCACATGTTAGTGGTTTGTCTGCTCCAACACGCTTGGTTCAGTGGTAGACTCACCTGTGCGGCAGCTCATCGGGCTCTGCAGAAGCCTGCTGATTTAAACCAGGTGTGTTGAAGCAGGGTTCAAATGAAACATGTGGGATACCGGACCTCCAGGACCAGGATTAAGAACTACTGCTGTAGAAACATTACCTTTCATAATAAAAGCCTGACAGGAAGCACCCATTTTAATGCTTATTAAATGAAAATAGCCTGTGTGAGACGATAGTTTAGGTGTAACTGTTGTGTTTGTGCTGAAGTGTGTACTTGTGTGCTGAAGTGTGTACTTGTGTTTACTTTCTTTTGTTTGTCAGATGCACAGCCGACAGACGAAGAGCGCGAAGTGTGGAACCAGGTGAACTCCGTCCTCCAGGACTCTGACAGCATCCTGTCTGGCTTACAGGCTTACAAGGGGGCGGGGCAAGAAATCAGAGATGTAGGAACACACACGCACACCTGTGAACAGTGCTTAGCTGCAGTCAGTCTTGTTTTCAGCAGGATGAGTAAATTATGAGTTTCTATATGACTGATAGGTGTTGAGCCAACATGTCTTTGTTCTTTCCAGGCAATTCAAAATCCTAACGACATGACGCTGCAGGAAAAAGCCTGGAACGCCGTCTGCCCGCTGGTCATCAAGTTAAAGACGTTTTATGATTTCTCTACCAGACTAGGTGTGCCGTCTAACATATTTGTGCTCTGAAAACACTCTTAAACCCTGAAGCCTACTGCACACTGGAAGCATCAGCAGCGCAGAACGTCACTGCATCAGATGGAGTTCCTTGTAGTCCATGCTTCCAGTGTGCAGTAGGGGTGACACATGATGCTTCCAGTGTGCAGTAGGGGTGACACATGATGCTTCCAGTGTGCAGTAGGGGTGACACATGACGCTTCCGGTGTGCAGTAGGGGTGACACATGATGCTTCCAGTGTGCAGTAGGGGTGACACATGATGCTTCCAGTGTGCAGTAGGGGTGACACATGATGCTTCCAGTGTGCAGTAGGGGTGACACATGATGCTTCCAGTGTGCAGTAGGGGTGACACATGACGCTTCCGGTGTGCAGTAGGGGTGACACATGATGCTTCCGGTGTGCAGTAGGGGTGACACATGATGCTTCCGGTGTGCAGTAGGGGTGACACATGATGCTTCCAGTGTGCAGTAGGGGTGACACATGATGCTTCCAGTGTGCAGTAGGGGTGACACATGATGCTTCCGGTGTGCAGTAGGGGTGACACATGACTCTTCCGGTGTGCAGTAGGGGTGACACATGATGCTTCCGGTGTGCAGTAGGGGTGACACATGATGCTTCCGGTGTGCAGTAGGGGT